GCTCAATTAGGACATCCAAGTCTTGCAAAGTTACAAAAGTTGGTGCCAAATCTTTCCAAGTTATCTACGTTGTCTTGTGAGTCTTGCCAGTTAGGAAAACATGTTTGTAGTTCTTTTTCGACTCGTGTCAATCGTCGGTCTAAGTCTCCGTTTGCTATAGTTCATTCAGATGGGGTTCTAGTCACATTGTTTCCACTTTACGGTCTAAGTATTTTGTTACTTTCATCGATGATTATTCTCGATGTACTTGGTTATTTTAATGGAAAATCGATCTGAGTTATTCGCTATTTTTCAAACATTTTATAATGAAATCAAAAATCAGTTTGGTATTTCCATTAGTAGTTTGCACAGTGACAATGCTCGAGAATATTTATCTACTCAATTTCAAACTTTCATGGCTACTAACGACATGCTTCATCAAATGTCTTATGCTCACACACCACAACAAAACGGGGTCGCTGAACTTAAAGATAGACACTTAGTTGAAACCACTAGGACACTCTTACTTCACAATAATGTTCCTCAACATTTTTGGGGCGATGTTGTCCTTACGGCTTGTTATCTCATAAATACGATGCCATCCTCTGTCTTCAACAATCAGATCCTTCACTCTATTCTATTTCCTCACCGGTCTCTTCACTCCTTACAACCTAGAGTCTTTGGGTCTACATGTTTTGTCCATAATGTTAGTCCTTGGCTAGACAAACTCTTAGCTCGTTCTCATTAGTGTGTGTTCTTAGGCTACACAAGATCCCAAAAGGGATATAAATGTTACTCCTCGTCTCTTCGTCGATATTTCGTCTCTGCTGATGTCACATTCTTTGAGTCAGTCCCTTACTTTGGGACGTCTACAAGGTCCGAGTCCCCATCACCCATGTTTTCTTCATCTCCCACTACTCCCCCACCAAACGTAGTTTTGTCTCCTTTGCCAGCCAATCCACCCCCTTCAGCTCCTTTGCAGGTTTATCAGCGTTGACCACAGCTACCACCACTGCCATCAGCTAATGCAGAAATCACCATAGACTCCCCTCCGTATCCAACTCCTTCGTCCCCTCCGGCCCTGCCCCCTGTGACTGATCTCCCAATTGCACTTCGCAAAGGTATACGTTCAACTCGTAATCCATCTCCTCATTATGTTAATTTGTCTTATCATCGCTTGTCTTCTTTGCATTATGCTTGTATTTCCTCCTTGTCTTTTGTGTCTATTCCTAAGATTGTAGGTGATGCTTTATCTCACCCTGGCTGGAAGCAAGCTATGCTTGATGAGATGTGTACTCTTCAGAACAGTGGCACGTGGGACCTTGTTCCTCTTCCTCTTGGGAAATCTGTTGTAGGTTGCAGGAGGGTTTTCACAGTCAAAGTTGAGCCTGATAGACAAGTTGATCGTCTCAAGGCACGTTTAGTGGCCAAAGGTTATACACAAAGTTTGACCTAGATTATGGTGACACCTTCTCTCCCGTGGCTAAAATGGTCTCGGTTTGATTATTTCTCTCTATGGCAGCTATTCGCCACTGACCCCTTTACCAGCTTGACATCAAGAACGCATTCCTCCATGGTGATCTGTGTGAGGAAGTTTATATGGAGCAACCTCCTGGGTTTGTTGCTCAGGAGAGTCTTCTGAACTAGTTTGTTGTCTTTGGAAGTCTTTGTATGATCTTAAGCAATCTCCTAGGGCTTGGTTTGAGAGATTTAACACTGTTATTCAACAGTTTGGTATGACGCGATGTGAAGCTGATCACTCAGTGTTTTATCGTCTCTCAGTTGTTGGGTGTATTTACTTAATTGTGTACGTGGACGACATTGTTATTACAGGTAATGATCATCATGGAATCACACAGGTAAAACAACACCTGTCTCACCATTTCCATTTCCAGACAAAAGACCTCGGCAGACTTCGTTATTTTTTGGGCATAGAGATTGCCCAATCCAAACAGGGGATTGTAATTTCACAAAGGAAGTATGCTATGGATATTTTGGAGGAGACAAGACTGTTAAATGGCAAGTCAGTTGACACTCCGATGGATCCCAATGCTAAACTTATGCCAGCTCAGGGGGAGTTACTCTCCGATCCTGAAAAATATAGAAGATTAGTTGGAAAACTGAATTACCTCACAGTTATTCGCCCAAATATTTCATTTCCTGTTAATGTGGTAAGTCAATTTCTTAACTCTCCTTGTGAAAGGAATTGGGAAGATGTGATTCGCATCTTAAAATATATTAAAGGAGCTCCAGGAAAAGGCTTACTTTATGAAGACAAGGGACACACTCGAGTTGTAGGATACTCAGATGCAGATTGGGTAGGTTCTCCTTCTGATAGGAGATCCACCTCAGGTTATTGTGTTTTCTTGGGTGGTAACTTAATTTTCTGGAAGAGTAAGAAATAAAATGTAGTGGCAAGGTCAAGTGCGGAAGCAGAACATCGAGCCATAACAACAACAACCTGTGAGCTTATATGGCTCGAACAGTTGCTTCACGACCTGAGATTCGGGGATGTTTCACAAATGACACTTATTTGTGACAATCAGGCAGCTCTTCATATTGCATCAAATCCAGTGTTCCATGAGAGAACCAAACACATTGAGATTGATTGTCATTTCATCAGAGAGAAGATTTTATCTGGAGATGTCAACACTAGTTTTGTCAATTCAAATGACCATTTAGCCAATGTTTTCACCAAGTCTTTGAGAGGTCCTCAAATTAATTATATTTGTAAGAAATTTGGTGCATAAGACATATATGCTCCAGCTTGAGGGGGAATGTTAGATATTGGAATATTTCGTATTATGTAAATAGAATATTCTGTAAGTAATTAGGATATCGTGTAAATAAGAAATAGAATATTATGTAATTACTAAGACATTTATTCCTCCTATTATATATAATGAGCTCCACTATGTAATTCAAACACACAGATTCAATCTAACTTTTCTCGTGTTCTCTCATTATTCAACAGTTGTCGAAGATAATATCACCCTGACACTATTCAATTTTGCAACTGGAACAAATGTCTTTGAATAATCTAAGTGAATTCTTTAGCTACCAATTTTGTCTTGTACCTCTCAATATATGCATTTGCCATGTATTTAACCTGTATACCCATTTGCACCCTACAAGTATCTTTCTATTTGGTAGAGAAACCAATTCCCAAGTATCTTATCTAGTGCGTCTATCTCCAAATCCATTTCCATTTTTTGTCAGACAATGCCTCAAATAAAAAGGCATGTAGTGTTATAGTGTTTAGATTTGTGAGGAGGACTTTATGGGGTAGGTGAAACCTGTTCAAAGCTTAGCTAGTTGGATAGAGGGTAAAGTGACTTTTTGGTAAAGTTTACTGTATCTTTTTTAGTGACAATTGAAAGATGTAAATCTTTATAGTATGATGATAGTGGTGTTTGAATTGAGTTGGATTCTGGTTCCTGTTCATGAGAAAATTCAGAAATTGAATCATTAGAATTTGAAGGGCTACCATAATTTATTTCATGTAATGTCGGATCAGGCTTTTAGATATGAGTAGATTCAGGAATGATCTTTCTTGTATATACTAAATTCTTCCTATATTTTACATCAGTTTCAACATTTTCATTTTTTTTTCTTCTGAAGAGTAAGGTCAGAAAGTAGAAGAGACTCATCTTCCTTATTTATGTTCTCCCCCTGAAGATGAGTTTCAACGAAGTAACTTTATTGTTCATGGAAAGTGACATCTCGAGAAATAAAGAATTCATGAGATGGTGGATGATGACATTTGTAACCCTTTTAGGTGGCAGAATATCCTATAAAGACACACACTTTAAGACTCTAGCATCAAGTTCCCCTATACCATTATTATGAATATGGACGAATAATATACACCCAAATATTCTAGGAGCGAGGCTACTAGAGGTGGGCACATTAAGATAAAGCAAGGATAAGACTTCCCTATGAGTTTTTGAGGCAAGGACAGTAGAAGGCAAATGATTTATGAGATACAATGCGGTTAAAATTGCCTTGCCCCAATATTGCTTGAAAAATTTATTTTAAGATATCACGGGACATGTTTGATCTGACAAATGTCCATTTTTTCTCTCAGCAATGCCATTTTATTAGGGTGTTTTATCACAAAAAGACTCATGAATGATACATTCATTCTAACACATAATTAAGTTTATGATTAAAGTAATCCTTGACATTATCAGACCGAATCCTTTTAATGCTCATACCAAATTGATTTTTAACCATGGAGAAAAATTGAGGAAACACGCAACTAACTTTAGATTTTTGTTTAAGTAAACCCAAGTAACCTGAGTACAATCATCAATAAAGGTTACAAACCAACGGACACCTAAAATATTTGAAATATTAGATGGACCCCACACATATGTATGAACTAGATAAAATGGAAAAGTACCCATTTTGTTATTAACGAACAAAGATATGCGCTTGTGTTTAGCAAGCTCACACACCCATGGTAGTCAGACTCGAGATCCTATGCAAGATCGGGTTAGGGTAATTAAATCGTGATTCGGGGGATCGTAACACGGATCGTAAGATCCTACCAAATTTTAAAATTCATATATATTTTGCATATAGATTAATAATATGCATATGACACAACTCACATTATAATATATAAAAAAAATCAAATAACACTAAAATTACTTTAAAAAATTGAAATTTCATAGGATAATATTCATTGAAACTACTCAAAACAACACAACATTCAAAACAGTAGCAAATAACAATTGAAAACTTCTAAAAAAAACTTAATGAAAATTCACTCAATTTCCAAACAATTCATGTTGGAGTTGATCATAATCACTCAATAGATCATCATTGTCTTCTCCATCATCTCCTTCATCTTCATTTTCATCTTCAAAGTCATGCTTAAATTCGTTTTCATCTCTCCCTCCGTCATGTTCATCTTCCAAATCATGAACAAGAATATCATCCTCTTGAATTTATTTTTGATTCATTTGAACAAAGTCTTCATCTGAAATTTCAATGTCGCCATCTTCATCCATAAGTCAATCATCATTAGATCCAAGGTCATCAAACTCTATCACAAATGGTCTTCTCCCTTTCTTTTTTTTGGACAATCTTGAATTAACCATGACAAATACAACATCATTCATCATTTTTTGTTTCAATCGGTTTCTTCTTTTTGTATGGACCTTGATTACAATAAATGAAAAAAAAAATTAAGATAAGTAAGATGAAAGCACTCCAATTAATTATAAAATCTTAAAGCCTTGCCATCTCAAAAGCACTCCAATTTCGCTCACAACCTGATGAACTGCAAGTCAAGCTGAGTATGCGGATAGTAAATCTTTGGAGCTCTGGACACTCAAATCTAATTGAATCCCACCAATATGCCGGAGTAGATTTCTCAAGTGTTAGTTTGGCCAATTGTGTGCCAAAATACCCTAATTGTTTCTTGAAGTCATGCATTTCGATTTCAATCTTAGCTTGTTCTTCAGGATCATCCACCATGTTAGTTAAACAGTCTATTAAACCTTTTTTAACCTCAATATCAGCTTTGATTTGAATCTAGGACCGTAATGCATCTGTGGGTTGAGATAATAGGCTACAGCATGCAGTGGCCTATGTAGCATTTTGTCCCATCTATCATCAATGATATTTCTAACTACAAATTATAATAATTTGAGTTATTTTCAACATTTGATATCAAGAACATATACAAATACTTTAATAAAATTAGAACTGAACAAAGATACCTTTTTTTTACACCATTAAAATTCTTTTGAATTTCTTCCTTTGCTTGGTCCATCGCCTCATAGATTAATCCCATGGCTGGTTTTTGATATGGATCAACTAAACGAAGCACTTTAATGAGAGGTGTAGCACCCCTCAAACAAATAACAATATTCTTCCAATTCTTTTTGTCCAAAACCACATCTTCAATGGCTTTCCCATCTCTTAACTTTGCACATTTGCTCGACTTCCATTCTTTGGAAGTGAACATTCTTATCAAAGCTTCTTTGTTCTCATACAAGCACCCTAAAGTAAGGTAAGATGTGACAAATCGAGTAGCGCCTGACGTCACCAAATCTTTGTTTTTTGTGTGATGATGCAAAATAGAAATGAGAGAAGTTCTTGAATAAATAAAAGTTGTAATTTTTTTACCCTTTGGAATTTTCTCTTCATGAACAGATATCTTCTTCTCCAAATCTTCAAGCATCAAATCAAGACAGTGTGCGGCACAAGGTGTCCAATATAATTTGTTCCTCTTTCGCATCAGCATCTCCCCGGCAGCCTTGTAGTTTGCCGCATTATCTGTCACGACCTGAACGACATTATCTTCTCCAACTTTTTCAACAACAGCATCAATCATTTCAAAGATTTTGTCGGCTGTTTTGCATATGTTAGATGCATCAACAGACTTCAAAAATGTACCCTTTGGACTATTAACCAAAAAATTCAAAATTGTCCTCCTCTTCTGATTTGTCCATCCATCGGTCATTATGGTGCAACCAATGTTCCTCCATTCCTTTCTATGTTCTTCCAAAGCTTCATGTGTCAACTTCACTTCTTGGTTTAACAACTTAATTCTCAAGTCATGATAAGATGGTGGTTTGAATCTATTACCATGTCTTGAAATCATATCACACATGATAGTGAACTCTTCACTCCTTGTTACATTGAATGGTATGGCATTATTGTAAGAAAACCTTGCAATTGTTTGACATGCATCATCTCTTAAACCCTTCTTTAGAATTGCATTGATGCTAGGCTGTGAGCTGAAACACTTTTTCTTAAATATGTTTTCAGAGTTGTTATTGGTCATTCTTTTTGAGCCCACCTCTGACTTCTCTTCCTCCACCCTTGCCTCTATTTTTTTGATCAAACTTTCTTGCAATCTTGAACAAACTTGCAGTATTTCTCTCTTGATTTCATCTGGGACAGCCTTACATGCTTCAACATCTTTTTGAGTTCCAGTCAAGTGATGCTTTAGCCTGTAGACACCTCTAGTTACCTTTTTTTGACAATACTTGCATCGGATTTTTCTTGGATTATCAGGATCAGCAATGCCATGTTTCCGTGCTATATCAGTTCGGTTACTATGAGCATTTTTTGGTAGTTTTTTTTTGGTGTGGTGGTAGTGAGAGCACCAATAACTAAAGTTCCAATTGCAGAACTTGAAGCCATTGAAGACAGATTGAAATTGTTTTTAATAGAGAAGGAAATGTTATTTTTTTATCGTGAGATAGAAGATGGAGAATGAAATATTGAGTGAGTCTATTTAATGTGATAGACTGACAAAATTGGAATTAATAAAGGTATTTTGGGAAGTTACACTACTCATGATTTATTTTGGGAAGTTGAATAAATCCTTAATTATTGGGTGGCTGGGTAGTTATAAGAAGATTCTGTTTTACAGTATAGGGAAAAGCATTGTTTCAGTTATTAAGAAGATTCTATTTTACAGTATAGGGAAAAGAATTGTTTCAGTTATTAAGAAGATTCTGTTTTACAGTATAGGGAAAAAGAATTGTTTCAGTTTTTAATAAAAAATGAAACGTTTTTTAGGGTTTTTTTAAACCGTGTCGCAAACCCGAATTCATGGGGTTTTAAACAAAAACGGATTTTTTCAACAGAAACGACGATTCTACCGTTTTCACGTGAAATCACGATGATTCTTCCCGTGCCTACCAAAAACCGATTCTGATAATTTTTTGGCACGGTGGGGAGTTGCAGGATCGTAAAATCGTAGGATCCTACGAGTAGGACCGCGATTTTGACTACCACGCACACACCTCACAATGAAAACTCTTAACATCTAATGTTTTAAATGAAATAGAAAATAAATGTTTCATGAATCTAAACGAAGGATGATCGGGCGACAATGGTGTCTTTATTGATCCTGAGAAAAAAGAAATTGTTGCTGAGAAAATCTGACCTTGAATCTTTCTTATTCAAGTAGTAAAGACCATTATATTCTCTAGCACTTCCAATCATCCTCCTCGAATTCTTGTCTTGAAAAACACAAGAGTTTTTTTATAGAAAATAACATTACAAGTCTTTTGAGTTTTTGTATGGAAATTAGGCTAGTAGACAATTTTGAGGATATGGGGGACCTTAAAGGAACCCCTGGAAAATGAACTCTATTCAAACGTAATGGAAATGTTAGGCTTGGAGCCTATATAGATGCTGATTCTGTAGGGTCAATTGTGGATTGAAGGTCAACAATAGGGTATTGTATACTTCTTGGAGGAAATCTTGTAACTTGGAAAATTAAAAAGCAAAGTATGGTAGCAAAGTCTAGTGCTGAAGCAGAATTTCGAACCATGACACTAGGTATATGAGAGGTCATACTTTCCAAAGACCTTGCTAAAATGGGAAGAGCTAATGAAACTTTATTGTGACAATAATCAGCAATTAACATTGGTCATAACCTAGTGTAACATGATAGAACCAAACATGTTGAAATTGAAAGTGGCTTGATAAGCACACCATATATGTCATCTCAAAATCAACTTGCAGATATTCTAACTAAGGGACTCAACATCCACAATATTGAAAGAATCTTGTCTAAGCTGGGAATTGATAACACCTATTTACCAGCTTAAGGCGGTGTGTGGAAAATCTCGCAGTATTTAAGAAAATTTTAGGAAATTTGTATAATCTTTATTATTTATGTACATGTTGATATGATTAGGAAAACCACTTTAATTCTAGAGATATTCAATTAGAACAACAAAATTACAATTTCCTCGATTAAAACTCCCTCGGTCTCATAAAAAGTGTTGTATTTGCACTTTTCTTTTGTCTCAAAATAAATGTCTCTTTACAGTATCAATACATCATTTATTATTTTTTCGACTACTATACTCTTATTTATTAACTTTCACTTTATTCAACTACTCTACTAACTATAATTAATAAGAGCATTTTTAGTAAATGATACTAATTTTATCATTAAAATCAACACATCTAATTAGTTTTTTAAGAACCACACGTAACTCAAATTCGACACTTATTATGAGACGGAGGGAGTATGAGAATTGTGTATATATTGAATATGTTCGATGCACCTTTCGATGTTCATAATATTTATAATATGAGAAAAATAATCTACTCATAATCTACTCCTCAGAACTTTACGCCAAACTACGATGATTTCCTCAGGTGGTATCAGAATTATCAGAACTCAGATTCTACTGCTAAGGTAGCACACACTGGTAATTTATCTGTTTGCCTCTCTCAATCATCTCCTCTTCGACCTTGGGTCCTTGATTCTGGTGCGTCTGATCATGTTACTGGTAATAAAAATTTGTTCTCTTCCCTCTCTACCTCTGGTTTCTTACCTACTATAACTTTGGCCAATGGTTCTCAAACCTGATCCGAAGGGATTGGTACTGTTCAAATTCTACCTTCTCTATCTGTTACTTCTGTCCTCTATGTACCTAATTGTCCATTTAATTTACTTTCAGTCAGTCGTTTAACTCGTTCTCTTGATTGTAGTATCACCTTCACTAATAATAATGTTACCCTGCAGGATCGGAGTTCGGGAAAGACGATTGGCGTCGGATATGAGTCTCATGGCCTTTACTACCTTTCATTGTCATCTCAGACATGCTCAACCAAAGATTCTCCACTCACTATCCATGCTCAGTTAGGTCATCCCAGTCTTTCCAAATTACATAAGTTGGTGCCAAATTTATCGAAGGTATCTAATTTACATTGTGAGTCGTGCCAATTAGGGAAACACACTCGTAGTCAATTTCCCTGTCGAGTAAACAAACGAGCTTCGTCCCCTTTTGCTTTAGTTCACACTGATGTTTGGGGTCCCTCGCGTACTGTCTCTACTCTTGAGTCTAGGTATTTTGTCACCTTTATTGATGATTTTTCACGTTGCATGTGGTTATTTTTAATGAAGAATAGATCTGAATTGTTTTCCATTTTTGAACAATTTTATCGAGAAATAAAAACTCAATTTGGTTTGTCTATTCGTACCTTAAGAATTGACAATGCACGTGAATATTTATCCCAACAATTTCAAACATTTATGTCATCAAATGGTATTTTGCACCAAACATCTTGCCCTCATACACCCCAACAAAACGGGGTAGCCGAACGCAAAAATCGGCACCTCGTAGAAACCACTCGGACCCTACTTCTCCATGGTAATGTTCCTCTCCGGTTTTGGGGAGATGCAGTGCTCACGGCATGTTACCTCATAAATCGCATGCCATCATCTGTCCTTAATAATAAAATCCCTCATTCAATCTTGTTTCCAAACTCTCCGCTCCACCCAATTCCTCCTTGAGTCTTCGGGTCCACGTGTTTTGTACACAATCTCTCCCCTGGTCTTGATAAACTATCAGGTCGATCACTAAAGTGTGTCTTTCTTGGCTATCATCGATCCAAAAAAGGTTATCGTTGCTACTCACATACTCTACAACGATACCTCGTATCCGCCGATGTTA